ATTTTCTGTGTTAAAGCTCTCAAAAACACAAACCTCATAATTATTATGAATCTCTCGAAAATAGTGATTACAAAAAATTATTAATTTTACCCGTAAAGTAGTTTTTTTGGGCGCGTTTACAAAAAATGTGTATTTTCTTAACCTAAAGAGCAAGTCCCATTTGTATTATTTCCGTTAAAAAATCATCATAATGTATTCCCGGAAGCTCGGGCCCGATGTAATCAGTCAATTTTTCATAAATAATAGAAAAACGATCGATGAACCCTAAAGCCACCATTAATAATAGACCACACCATTGATTTAGATGCAAAATAACACGTGATTGTTGAAAATGTAACAATGACCGACCACCGACTTTTACCCCCGACGGACATCCCGTTGATCATAACCTCGACAAGCTCGAGTCCGGAGTCATCCCGGAAAATCGCCAGCACCGAACGCAAGGCTAGTTCAGTCGGTAGTGGCGAGAAAAACGGCAAAAATGCAAAAAATTTGCAAGCCGGTGGTTCGTTCAAGTACGAAATCGGGAGAAATCGATCGGTCTCAAATCTGATCAACTTGCCGGCGAAATGGTCAAGTGTCCGGATTAAAGGCACCGGATTTAAGGAGTCGAGGAAGAGTGTTGTTAAACTGGAATCGTGTAATGGCTTACCTCTCAAGAAGGAGTACCAGAATTTGCTCAGTCCTCAGAGTCAGGTGAAGAAGAATATAGGAAATGTAAGTTGAGGGAGAAAAAAAATCGTCTTCCCCAAACGCAATTCCTATTTGTTTATACCCAAAACTCCGACTTAATTCAGTCTTTACGAGTGTTTAAATTTAGTGGAATTCTTCAAAGAACAAACCGATTCTATTTCCGTGTGCGTTTAGTTAATAAAATTTAAAAATACGTTTAGTCGTGTGCACGAGGCGATAAATGGCACATCTCTTGGAGGTTTCCAGGAGGCGTTCGTCGAATTTACTCCGGGTTGCGAACGTTGTAAAGTGACAGTGGCGTGCGCATTGGGGGGTTTGTCCTAATTGGTGTTTTTTTTACAGGTGTTGTCTTTGGGGGCTGATGTACTTCCAGAATACAAACTGCAGAATCCGAGGATACATAATTGGACGATTTTGCATTATTCGCCATTCAAGGCCGTCTGGGATTGGATCATACTGATTCTGGTCATGTACACTGCGATATTTACGCCTTATGTTGCCGCTTTTTTACTTAACGAGCCCGATAATAACAGGAAAAATAAAAAGTACGGGGAGGATCCCATTGTGATCATAGACTTGATAGGTGAGTAAAAAAAAATAAAATTGTAAAAAAAAATAAGTCCGAAAGTTTGAGTCATTGTCACCCCATAAAAATTCATCGCGTCAAAATGTAATCGATTTTGTTTAGTTGTATCAGATAAAAATAAAAAAATAATTGTAAAAATAAACAAATTATGTCGGAAAGATTGAGTCATTGTCGCTCCATAAAAATTTGTCACGTCATTAATGAAACATTCAAATTAAGCAATTCGGAGCAATCAAGTGAATTAAATAAATATAAAATTAATAAAATTAATAAATACAAATATAAATATAATATAAAAAATAAAGTCGGAACGACTGAGTCATTGTCGCCTCATAAAAATTTGGTGCGTCAAAATAATATAAATATATAAATCTAGAGAGAAAAAATTTGGTAATTTGGTAATTTTTTACCCACTTTATGTATTTTATGAAAGCTTAAAATAACATAATTTTTGACTTGATTAAGTAATTTACTTAATTGGTATTATTAAAAAAAAATTATAATAGAAAGTTTAGTTTTAACTAAAAAAGTGTTTAACAGCACAAAAGGACAAACAAATCATTTTCCACGTGAATAGGTAATTTTTGATTACTTTGTGGTTTTAAAATGAATTTTTTAGAGAGAATGAAGTTTGATAAACATTAAAATTTATGTTTATCAAACTTCATTCTCTCTAAAAATAGTAAATTTTTGTTAGAAAATATCGCAAATATTGTCATTCAATAAATTGTCAAAAAGTAAATTTTGAGAAAAAGAGAATAAAGTTCATCGTTCAAAATTGTTCCTAAACGATTATTATAAAATCTGAAAGCAACATAATTTTTGGATTGCTTAAATTTTTTTTTAAAGTTAATTTTTTAATTAAAAAGAGCGTTTATATGCACAAAATAACAAAAGTTACTTCAATTTCCACCTAAATAGGTAATTTTTTGACCACTTTGTGCAAGATAACTTTTAAAATAAAATTTTATAGAGAATGAAGTTTGATAAAAACACAAATTTTAACCAAAATAGTAAATTTTTTGTTAGAAAATATTAAAAATATGGTCATTTGTGACCCAAAGAGTAATATTTCTAGCCAATTTATGCAATATTTTACAAAAAGTAAATTTTGAGAAAAAGAGAATAAAGTTTATCGTTCAAAATTGTTACTAAACGATTATAAAATCGGATTGTTTCTAGAAATTTTTTTTTTTTGAAAAAGTTAATTTTTTAACAAGAAAAAGCGTTCATATGCACAAAATAACGAAAATTACGACAATTTCCAACTAAATAGGTAATTTTTTGAGCACTTTGTGCAAGAAAGCTTTTAAAATATTTTTTTTATAGAGAATGAAGTTTCATAAAAACACAAATTTTACCCAAAATAGTAAATTATTTGTTGGAAAATATCAAAAATTTTGTCATTTGTAAGGATCCAATTTATGCAAAATTTCACAAAAAGTAAATTTTAAGAAAAAGAGAATAAAGTATATCGTTTAAAATTGTTCCTAAACGATTATAAAAGCTAAAAACAACATAATTTTTGGATTGTTTTAAAAAAACTCTTTTAAAAAGTTAATTTTTACTAAAAAGTTCATATGCACAAAATAACAAAAATTACGTCAATTTCCACCTAAGTAGGTAATTTTTTGATCACTTTGTGCAAGATAACTTTTAAAATAGTTTTTTATAGAGAGAAAAGTTTGATAAAACACGAATTTTACCCAAAATAGTAATTTTTTCTTAGAAAATATCAAAAATCTTGTCATTTGTGACTCAAAAAGTAATTTTTCTAGCCAATTTATGCAAAATTTTATAAAAACTAAATTTTAAGAAAAAGAGAATGAAGTTTATAGTTCAAAATTGTTTCTAAAAAAAATTAAAAAAAATAAATTGAAATTAAACAAAAATAAGTCAAGAGGACTGAGTCATTGTTGCCTCATAAAAATTTGTACCATCAATGAAAAATAAAAATTTTAGAGAAAAAAATTTGGTAATTTGGTGATTTTTTACCCACTTTATGTATTTCACAAACGATAAGAAAAAATTTTTTGTTCAAAAATGTGTTAAAACTATTATAGAAGCTAAAAATTACATAATTTTTTACTTGTTTAAGTATTTACTAGATTATTATTTGAAATAATCATAATGAAAGATTTAGTTTTTAACAAAAAAAAAGTGTTTAAAAGCACAAAAGGACAAAAATAACATCATTTTCCACTTAATAAGTTATTTTTTGACACTTTGTGCAAGATATTGTTTAAAATATTTTTTTATAGAGAATGAAATACAAATTTTACTCAAAATAGTACATTTTTTGTTAGAAAATATCAAGAATATTGTCATTTTTGACCCAAAGGAGTAATTTTTCTAGTCAATTTATGCAAAATTTCACAAAAAGTAAATTTTACGGAAAAGAACAAAGTTTATTGTTTAAAATTGTTCTCAACAATTATAAAAGTGGAAAACAACAATTTTTGTATTTATTTTTGGATTTGTTTTAAATCAATTTTTTAACTAAAAAAATTGTTCACATGCACAAAAATTACGTAAATTTCCACTTAAATAAGTAATTAAACAACTCGGAAAAAATCAAGTAAATTTAATTAAGTTTCCCTGATGATGAATCACGTTATACGGAACACTTGGCTCGTATAAGAAAAATATATTTTGTCTAATTTTCTTGCTTTTTCTTATTGATTGTGTTTAGTTGTGTCTCCATAATTTTATAAAAAAAAATTTAATAGTAATAAGTCGGAAAGAGTCATTGTCGCCCCATAAAAATTCGTCACGTCAAAACTAAATAAAATGATAAATGAAACATAAAAATTAAGCAACTCGGATGACAATCGATTGAATTAAATAAATAAAAGTTTCTCTGATGATGAATCACATTGTGCGAAACACGTTGCGCGTTTATAAAGATACATTTCGTCTAATTTTCGTGCCTTTTCTTATCGATTTTATTTTGTTGTGTCACCAAAATGGAAACTTGAGTGTATATTCAGTTCTCATTTTGTAATATTGAATGGAAAATCAATAATGCGCCTCTTCACTTGTAAATATTTAATAGTAATTCAATTAGAATTAATTTTGGAATGTTTTTCAGTGGATGTTACGTTTATCATCGACATTCTCATCAACTTTCGCACGACTTACGTCAGTGGAAACGATGAGATTGTCTCGGACCCCGTCAGAATCGCCATCCACTACCTAAAAGGGTGGTTTTTCATCGACTTGGTGGCTGCTGTGCCTTTCGATTTGCTATTTTTCGGAAGCGACACAGACGAAGTAAGTTTAACATAACCAAAAATCGATGTTTCAACCCTTAAATGTTGCATTGTGATAAAGGAATGTCATTGTTAGACACAGGAAGATAAGTAGAGCGACTCAACTAAGTCGTATCACAAGTTTTTAAACTGAGATTCTTTTCTATAGTTGGGCTTGGATAAAGACGAGGTAGTTAACGTAGTTTGGTGCCTGATTTTCCCAATGAAAATTTTGCAATTTTCGAATTGAAAAATTTTCATCAACGGTTGCGCTTACACACCCAGCATGGCACGGATTTTCCAAACACTCAATCAACACTTGCTTTCTTGTCAATTTTCGCACTTTCGGACACTGAAAAACCGGTTTTTCCAGACGACGACTCTGATTGGACTGTTGAAAACAGCGAGACTTTTGCGATTGGTGAGAGTTGCGCGGAAAATCGACCGATATTCCGAATACGGAGCCGCCGTTTTGCTACTCCTTATGGCGACTTTTGCACTTATTGCCCATTGGTTGGCCTGCATTTGGTAACTGTTAATCTTTTTAGGGATTTTTTTTCACTGTTGTGGTAGGTACGCTATTGGGAATGCAGAAAACCACTCAAAAATCGGATGGTTGGAGATTCTAGCCAATGATACTCATCAATTCTACGGCCCGAATAATACAGGGGGGCCCAGTATTAAAAGTCGGTATGTGACGGCACTGTATTTCACGTTTACGTCACTGACAAGTGTCGGATTTGGCAACGTTGCACCCAACACGGATGCCGAGAAGATTTTCACCATCTGTGTGATGCTGGCTGGATGTGAGTTTTTTTTAATCAAGTTAAATATTTTTTATGTTTAATTGCGACTTCTAATTAATTAAAACTGGAGATATTTCATATACCTAACTAATTACTGATAAGGTATTTCTAAGAATTTTTCTAATTTTTTTTGATAATAATAGAGGCCGTAACAGTTTTGGGTATTTTATGAATATTTTTTGTTAACTTTTGACTTGGTCAGCTTAATAATCGCTTTTTTTTATTTAAATGGTATAACTTGCCAACAAAAGGTAGCCAACCACCTTGAAATATCTTATTGTTGTAAATCTTACCCAAATTACAGTTATAAACAAATAAAGTTGCGTTTAATTCAAAATCTAATTGGATTTTTTTTTTGGATTTGTAAAAAAAGTACTTTTATTTTTTTTTGCTTTGTTTGTAAATGAAAAATTGCCAAAAAGTTATGGAATGTACTTTATCAATGCCCAGATGAGTGTGAAAAATTTCAACAATTTTATTTACTTATAAGTGGGGATTTTTTTCTGCGCGTAACTGATGCCCCACCTGGTATTGTAAAATAATTAAATTATGTTTATTTCAACCAAAGAAAAATTAATTCCAGGAAGCACTACATTTAATCAAGGTTCTATAAAATGAATTTTCTTAAAAAACTCCCTATTAAACTATGGTTTCCTTTTTCAATGAAATTCTCTTGTTGATTGACTCGTTTCCAGAAATTTACAAAAATCGCAATTATTTGATTCAATGCAATTTCTTATATTTTGAAAACAAAAGGGATGAAAATAACGAAATTAATGTGTTTTTTGTTTAGTTACTGATAGGTTTAAAATTCATAATTACATAAATTAAATAAGTTAACTTGGGTTACAATTTTACAAACTTTTCAATGAATTGAGAAAAACATTACTTTAGATTTTAAAAACTAAAATACAAAGTTTCCTTTAAATGGTAAAATTAAAAAAAAAATGATGTGAGACACTGATAGATACTAATCTAGTCCATCGCCTAAAATTAGTTTCAACTATACAGCGTGTCTCAAAAATAAGTTACAAAACAAACTTGTGTTTTTTTTTTAAATAAAATACCATATTTTTTGGATGTCGATTTTTATGACATTGTTTCTAAGCTAAACTTTATTGGTCGATTTCGCTTAGTTTTAGAAATGAGACATTTTTTGACAAAAATATGCACTTTTTAAAAATTTATTACACAAAAACTAAAACATCTAGAAATATTTTTTTTGTAGAAGGTACAAGCTATAAGGTTGTAACATTTTTTTAAAATGTTGCATTTGCAAAGATAAAAAAAATAAGGCGTTTGTTAAAAGTTCAATAACTTAAAAAAATTAAATGGAACACCTTATTTATTGTTTTTGCATTTAAAAGATTATTGAATTGTCTTTCTAAAATTATTTACTTTTAGATGTTTATAATCAATAACTAAAAAGATATTTAACGTTAAACATTAAAAAAAATAATTACTATTGTTTCAGTAGCCAAAAAGTGCACAGTTGCACAAGAGATGGAAGAAATATCACTTAATAATCACATTTGTGTTAAACTGAATTCATTATTCTTTATTTTTACAATAAAATAATTCGAATTTCAGTTTTTATAACGATTTTTACAATCTTTGGATAAATCAACGAATAAGTGATCCGTGGCGGAATTACTATAGCTGCCATAGTATCAACAATGCGCAGATATTGATAATCATTGTTGCTACAATTAATATTAAATGTTAAATATCTTTTCATTTATCAATTCTAGACATTAAAAGTTTGTTTTTTTAGATAGACAATTTATCAATTTATTAGATGCAAAAATAAGAAATAGTGTGTTCCATTAAATTTTTTTAAGTTATTTAACTTTTAACAAATTTCTTAATTTATTAATCTTTACAAATGCAAAACACTAAAAAATTGCTACAGCTTTATATATAAAAGTTGTGTTTGGTTAAATTGAAAAATAATATAAGGTGGTTATTAAACCAAAAAGGAAATTCATTTCGGGGAAGCACTACATTCAATGATAGTTCTAGAAAATGAATTTTCCAGAAAAAACAAATCTTGATATTTTCTTAGTTCCTTTATTAAACTGGCTTCGTATTTTTCAATGTCTCTTCTATTGAAATAAGGTTTTCTACTAGAATATGATGTCCAGATGTCCAAAAGAGAATTAATTGTTATTGGAAAAGTTCAAGTTCAAGAAGTTTTAAAAATCTTGTAACATGTCTGAGTCATTGCAGCCCCATATGAGTTAGTCGCATCAAAACTAGAAATAATGAAATGTACAAAAAACTGATCTCTTGGAAATAACTCTGAGAACAATCAAATGAGTTCTTAGTTATTTTCTAATTCCACAGTTATTTTTAACTTTTCATATTATTATTACTTTTTAGCCTTAATGTACGCCAGCATCTTTGGCAACGTTTCGGCCATTATCCAGCGCCTATACTCAGGCACCGCTCGTTACCACACTCAGATGCTCCGGGTCCGTGAGTTCATCCGCTTCCACCAGATTCCCAATCCTTTGAGACAGCGTCTGGAGGAGTACTTCCAGCACGCGTGGACTTTTACCAACGGGATTGATATGAATTCGGTGTTGAAGGGATTCCCCGAGTGTCTCCAAGCCGACATTTGTCTTCATCTAAACCGGAATTTACTTCAGAATTGTAGCGTTTTTAATGGTGCAAGTCCGGGGTGTCTCCGGGCCTTCACGTTGAAGTTTAAGACGACTCATGCGCCACCTGGGGATACACTAGTGCATCGCGGGGATGTACTCAGCTCGCTGTATTTTATATCAAGGGGGTCGATTGAGATTCTAAGGGATGATGTTGTGATGGCCATTTTAGGTGAGTTTTTTTTTATTTGTGTGTTTTTTCATTTACCTGATTTATAGCTTTCCATATATTAGAAAAAAACACCAATCGTAATTTTTTATGTTTTGTGTTTATTTTTTCATCAAACAAATTGWAATTTAATGCATGACAAGGTTTTTCATGCAAATTACAAACCAAATTGTGCGTTTTAATTAATAACAAAAAGAATGGGCGAAATTTGAGTTTTTAATTATTCTATAAACTGAAAATTTTRACAAAATTTAACAAAATAAAATAAAAAGTAAAAATTTGGAATTGCAAAATTAGTTTTTTCCAGGCCAATGAGGGAAAAAAATTTAAATTTAAAAATATAGTCCTTATTTTTTATCATTAAA